GAAATTGACTCCAACTCCCCCCTCCTGATGGGATGCCAGCTTGGGATCGTCCTCTTCATCCAGGGAGATGCGGGAAAGGGTCCCAGTGATGGTGGCCGGGTTACAGGTGTTTACCTCTTTGAATATGACTGGAGGGAGATTGTCAACGGTTTATGAGTGAGGTATTGGAAAGGGTGAGAAGGAAGAACAATGAAAGGGAGAAAGGGGAATGGACATAGAATGCTACGGTATTGACATGTAATGTATGCCAAACACAAGACAGTTGCAAGAGAGGTGTGCAAAACATAAACATAAATCAGGTTGTGTGGCTGAAGTTTGTTGTCAGCTTTGAAGTAGCTGTGAGATCGATTCCGTCTCCAAAGAAAACTTTCATGTCTCAAATTGTGCTTTTACGGTTCATTGTAACCAAGATGGGTTTGTCTCGGACACTGTGACCTTAAGTCTTGCTCCATCTGGTGATTTGCCGGTGAGCCGCGATTTGTATTAGCTCGGAGAAAGATCTTGAGTGCAAAATGCTGTGTGCACCAAATGAAATGGAGCAAAATTCCCCCACTATCAGTGTCCGATATCATGCTCACCAGCGTATTACACCCTGTGTGAGAGTCTGTGTTTATCTTCCTTAATACATGTGTATCAATGTGTGTTTCTGTACGAGAGCCTATTCTTTTTGTATTCACAGCACTGAAAATGAAACCAGAATCCTAAAACTACTTATATTGATTTGGGTTAGCCTTCATGCATGTTGTCCCAGGGGGAACTACAAACAGAATAACATACATTTGAGGGACAGCTAATCCAAAATAAACTGCGGCATGCTGATGAGACACTAAGTGAACTCCCTACTGACATCAATCTATCATCACAATCAAACACAACTCCAAACTATTTGGGAATTCATGCTAGGTCTCATGCTCATTCTGTCACTATCAGAAGTGAAACGATGAAATCTCTGGCCACAAAATGGATGTAAACATCATTGATCATTGACATCAAAAATGTCAAGCTAGGCGTTTGATCACCAACTGAAGTGGATCCAGCCTGCACACCAGCGAGGACACCGGCTAAGTACAGAACTTTCCTATCTCCTTTTTTAAAGTCCGGTTGGTACAAAGTGATGTGAGAGGACTGGACAGGTTTGGACAAATCCGCTACCTTCACATCTGCATCAAACCAAGGGGACCCAGAGAATGACCTCTTGGCAAATCTGCCGGGTGTTTTGAGTGCCACAGTCATTACTGCATGACTGCAAGTGAACGTCTGGGTTGATTCACCTATCTCGAGCGGATTTCCATGAACAGATGCTCATGGATTTTCATGTGTGTTGTCGAAGCATTGGATTACAGCCGAGCTTTGAAAAGTTTTATAAAATGTAATTGAAAAGGTTCTCTGGGATTTATTTGGCAGATTTGTTGGCCAAACCTACAGGTTTGTAGACAAGCGAAGTGCCACTGCAGTTATGGCGGCTTCTTTACTTTCCACCTGCAACCCTGATTTGTCTATAGGGAATATTGGGAGTCCAGCGACGGAACAGGCAGTGTTAAACATGACAGTTGGATGCAAAACTTACATGGGTGTCCTCTCTCTGCAAGGGTGGAGGAGGAAAGTGGCTGTGTTAATATTCCAAAGAGCAACACATTGTGGTACATTTGCAACACATCCAGTCGCTCACACACGAGACAATAGCCGGCAGGAAGTGAAACAGGCCAGAACACGCAGAGGAGTGTCATTATTGTGCACAATTAAACAGTCTCATCAAAAAGTCCGCTCGCTGAAATGTTATTGGGAAGTTTCAGATTGATTGATAAGGTGTCGAGACGTAGATCATCATCCCGCGTCTTTTCATCGGCACGTACAGTTGCAACTCTCCGTTGCCTCTCGGCCAATGCTACTCCTGCTCTGGACAAAATGAGAAAGGGGAGGAGAAATCAGCTGGCGTGGCAGAACTCACCTGTTTGACACGCCAAATCCACATCCTTTTCAAAGTCCGTCTGAGTGAGGGAGGCGGGGTGGAAAGAGAGGAAAGGCAATGAGTTCCACGACATTCACCACATCGATAAAGGCGCAGGCCTAATGAGTGTGACTGGGTCTCAAATGGCGATGCTGCAATCCAAATGATTCTGATGATCTACTGCAAGTTGACACTAAGGGAGGAGATAGAATCTGTCGCCATGCTGACACTTCACACCCGAGTCTGTTAGTAAAGCCCTTTTTGAACGAGACACCGAAAGGTTCAGTTTTCGTTTCTTCAGGAAAAAAGAACAGACACTTTCATGTGACGGCACACACGGCTACTTCGTTCATGATGTGTGTCCGTCCCTGCAGCAGACCCAAGTACAGTTTTGAAAGAGAGCAGCACAACGCTGTCGTCGTTTGGCGGCTATGTAATGCTACTTTATGCCTCATCAGTCACATCGCTTTCGTCTGAATGCAAACGGACGGATGTTTTTACTGTTATCTGCTGTGCCAGTTGGAGCAAAACTTCTTTTTATGGACAGAAAACAAAAAAAATTAAATAACATAATAATGAAAATGCTTTCTCCCCGTTGAAAACCCCCCAAAAAGACATCTACACAGAGCTTCACCTGCAGTACATATTCAGATTAAATGTAGATACGGTATTAAGATATGACCTTTATCTACCATTCACTCGAGGGAAACGGGTTGGCACTGCTCCGTGAGGTGAAGAATCAACGGCAAACCCAAAGTGTGGTAGTTAATGAAGGAGTGTTATTTTTAAAATGGCTACCGCTCGAGTTCTCAAAACTTTAATGAAAGGAAAGCTCATTGCTATGCAGTTGTGGTCCTCCCTCCTCTCAGCACACAGCCTCCTCCCGTCCTCGGTGGGATTCATTTACAAAAGGCTTTGTTTGGATAATAAACTACAGATTTTAGACAGTTTGGGCACGACACACAGGCAAAAAGAAGAGCAGGGGGGGGAAATGAAAAACTGAAAGAGAGGAGGAGAGAATGTGTAAAGGTCTCAGAGGAGCGGAAAAGCTCTTAGTAGGAAAATCACCCGCAGCAGCATAAATGGGTCTCTGCTAAATAGCCGGATGAGGATATGAAAAATCCTCTTTCCCTTTATCTCAGTCTCTCTCCACCACGTTACTATTATACACTCTCTCTGCCAAAGCTTCACAGGTTAAGTCATCAACATAAACAAGGTTAGTACCGAAATCAATGTTCACTGCTAAACCAATTAAACAGTGTTAGCATCTATTTCTAAAACACAGCTATTCAAACTAAGATTCAAAGGTGCAATATGTAAGCAAACGACAACGATTAAATAGAACTCTTTTTGAGGGGGTTTTGGGAATAGATTCATTTTTTGAATAGAATAGTTTGGTCTACTTTCATAGCCCAGATGCTAAGATGGATACCATCCGCATTATTCTAAGGATTAGCTTACTTTGAGACAAAACCCGTAAAGACGAAAGGGACTAGAATGGCTTTGTCCGAAGTATATGCCAGTCAGCAACTTTGACCTATGTATTTAGACCAATTTAGTTCCATAGCAGCACCAATTTGATAAAAAAGTGATTTTTATAGTACTTCTGAAGTCAACCGGACTCCAGAAAGTCACTGAGTAAAGCGGTAGTACAACATTTAACCCCCTTTTGAATCACAATCTTTCTCTTCTAGTTAGTTGTTGGGATTGAACAAGATAAAACATGTTAATTAGTGATCTAAAGAGCCATTCCTTCGTGTAAAACTAATCAAACCATCTGTTGGGTTTAGCTCCGTGTTCAGCATGAAATAATCAAAGCGGTATCCATCTTCTCCCTTTAAAAAAATACAAATAAGTATGTTTGTCAAACTGACAGAGGCGGTCCTTGACTAAGTGCATGTTCTTACAGATTCCACCTGTCTCCATCTAAGGGCTTTACTATTGCTACTAAAGGTATACATTCACTGGGAGGCGACATACTGGTTGGCTGCCGATGTGGTTGTGAGCGTGGTTATGGTTATGAGGATGGTTGTGGGTATTATTCAGGTTGTAATTTGGCTCTAGCCCGTGGTTGCAGCCGCGAGGAAGACTGTGGTAACAGGCCTGCTGGCATGCCTGCTGGGCTGTCGATGGGAACGGCTGTGGGTGGCAGCCCGACAGGCACGGGGAGGTGCCACAGCGCGGGGAGCCACACTGGTTCCCACAGTAGCTGACATTTGGACACTTCTGATGGCGTAAAACAAATTCATGGAAAACATAAAGCTGTTTCAGGCATTAATATAAGCAGTTTTATGGGTGGGTTTTGATTCAAGAAGGTGCTGCTCTAGTTCTACATCCCTATGACGTTTTTCAATGTTAGGGGTTTAACATTGTAATAAGATTTATAGAAACCTCGAGCGTGATTATGATGGCAACAATTTATAAAGTCACAGGTTTCCTCCGTGCATACGTGCCATCCAAAAATATTTTATTTTATTTAGATATAATTTACTAGCTGTCGCGATAGTTGGCATGGCGTCGGGCTGCGTGTGCGATGACAATACGTTTAAAACTCAAATTAGCACAGCTAGACTCTTTCTCTTGTTTATGAAAACAGAGAAATAGAGTGTGCCATAATGGCTTCCCTGAGCAGAATGATGGCTCCAAAGTTTAATCTCGATAACCTCGTGGGGCGTTCAGGAAGCCATAAGAGTTGCCGCAAACAGGTCTCGGGGAGAAATAAAGAGGAAGGCACAGCGATAGTCGCTCATGCACTGACGTTGGCAGATCAAGTCTACATGATTTATCACACTATTAGTCACATTGGGAACAACAATAACGTCACGGCAGCTCTGTGCTCTTCAAATACAGGAGGAGGGTTCTGAGGTTAAAAGTGCTGAAGCGTGTTTTGCTAAAAAATGAAATACCGTGGGCAATAAGAACATTTTTCCTTGAAGTCCACCCACCGACAATGTGAAAAATGAGTTGATATTAATTTAAGCAGGGCATTGTTACAGATATCTTTGTTGACAATTTTTCATTTCCAGTTATGGTACTAGGAAGTCAATTTCAGGCTGGGAGAAATATTGAATTCCTATGTGAGTGAAATAAAATTCTATGGCAGTGAAATAAAACATTTTTGGGGGGAAAATACAATTTTAAGATGCATAATGCATAAAATGCCACGGAGAGAGCAAGGTATGAGGTGGGGCACTTCAATAATAGCAATCGTGCTTATTGCTATTGGTGCCGATGCTTCTCGAAAGCTCCCGCCTGGTGAATTTCAGACCGAGGTTTAATGGATTGCAATGTGGGATGAAATGGAATGCTATTCACCATGATCTGCACCTGTCCGTTCTTGCAGGAATCTGGCGAGTTTTCGCTGTCGTCTTTACATCCTCCCATCCTACAGCGCACCGCATCCTGCACCTGGAGAGGCAGAACAAGAGTATGGGCCGAGGAAGGATGAAGTAGGAGGGGAAGAGAATAATGAAGGAGAGGACGGGAGGATGCAGGAAGGGAAGAAGAAGGGAAGAAGTTATTGGAGGATAGTTTGGCAAATGGAGAATTGTGAACTCACTCCCTGAGACGCGTTATGTTCTTCGTTTGTATTTCTGCAATGATAGATGTTCGGTGAATACTAAATCCCAAGAATAAAAGTAAACGAAAAGCTATGTTTTAGCTTGTAGCTTATGTAACAGTCAGTTGATTTGGTAAAAAAAGCACATAGCGGTTTTTCAAAGTGGCTTGGCTGGAGCTTTGCGAGATCAGTAGCGCTCCGTCTAAAACCGCAGGATAAAGCTATTCTAACATTTGGGCTTTTCCACTGTCACTGTTTTTTAATTTATTCTCCTACATTCGTCATGTATGCAAATGTGCAACAGCGCACTGTCAAAGGTTGTAGGTCTTATAACGCAGTTCAGATCAAATGACTCTTTGAGCGTTGAGGGTTTCACAACCAACATTGAGATTCTTCCCCACACTCCGGGTTTTGTATGATAAATAATCTGTTAACTTGCTGAGGCGCAACACCATTCCCCAATGTTGCTGCTGTCAAATCCCTTAAGAATCTCATGGGCAGATACAAGAGGGCTCTACAAGATGCATTGCAAGGGATGTGAATGGGAGTATCTTCAATCTTGCTAGGTGGTCTCATCTCTGCGTCTGTGTGTGTGTGTGTGTGTGTGTGTGTGTGTGTAGAGGTAAGGATGTAGTCAATTGGGGAAGAATCCATGTCGCATTAATACTGCATGGGCCGGGTTATTGCCTCCATTGTTTCTTTCCATCGGCGGCTTCTCGATATGTCCACACTCATCCTCCGTGGCATTCGTTCCCTGCGCTCTGTTGGTGTGAGAGTCTGTTGGCGATGTAGCTCGTTCTGACTTCAAAGGGGAGGGCCCCTCCGTGTGTCCGTACCTCTCTCTCTCTCTCTCTCCGCCTGCATCTCCACTTCTTCCTCCCCTACCGTTATCCCCTGCCTCGCTCTTGAATTTTTCTACAGATCTCTGCATGCAATTTGTGCTCCGCCCTCCCCCCCTCCCCGTCCTCTCCTCACTCGGCTACGTCCCTCTGTCGCCCTTTCTCTCGCAATATACCTTATCCTTCACATCTCTCCTCCGGTGCTGCCTCCAAATCCCCACATCTCGTGAAATTGCACCTGTGCCTTTGCTCGCCTTGTCCCCCGACTCAAGTTTTCTTTGTCTGCACTTTCACGTAACATCTCCCTCCACACTTGTTTTGCACTGTAATGCTTTCTAATTGTTGCCCTTGCGAAACCCCCCCCCCACACCCACCCCCTCCCTCCCCGTGAGTGTTGCTCAGCAGATAAAAAGGTTTTATGCAGGGGATTTTTATACTTTTAATAGAAATAATTCCCGGATTTACTGTACCCTGATCCGTGCCGCTTTTGTGATATTGATTCAATGCAGCTGTGCCTTCCAAGCATTTAGAAATTCACTTACACTAAATACAGTGCATTCAATATCGCAGTGATCTCTTTGATACGGGGAAGCCTGTACAATCATGGAAAGCTGATGACTTTGTAGATCTTTTAATTGTAAAGTGCAATCGGGAGTTGGACCGTGGAATAACGCGTGTGTACATGTCTGTCCTACCGGCGTAGCTGCATGCGTGTGGACAATGAGTTAGACCCAGCAAAGCCTGCGGTATAAAAGGCCCCGGAGGTATTAGTTAGGGACTTAAGAGTCTTATTCCATACAGCATCTTGGTAAGCCCCTTAAAGCAGCCTGGGATCAGACGGACAATACAGTACTATCATACTGCATTATGGTGAAGAAGGGCTGCAACACAGTAGGACATAAATACCACGCTAATCCCACTCATGTCAGCTTTCCCTGTAAGCTGCCGTAAGTTTAGACCGAACCCGGAAACTAACACGACACCTCCCAACACGAATGGCACCCTGGGAAGGCAGTGGATGTCAGGGAGGTGACTGTGTGACCGGGATCCACACAGGAGAAGGAGGAAGCCGGACTCACCTCTCGACGCATCGCACAGTGGACAGTGATGATGACAAAACCTTGGACGGAGTCAAAGACGGCAAAGAGGACCTGGAGGAGACAAGAAATATCTGCATGTGAATTACTGCTCATCATCAAAGTAGGTCCGACACATAAACCTCGACACGCCCCGTGAAGTTATTTTTGTTCACCAGGTACACATAGCATAAGGATATAAACGTATATATTATATATCTCAATATTTGGCACCAATGCTGCTTTCCAAATTTCTTCCATCATTTTTTGCCCACAGAAGAGGCATTCTAGAGTGGCACAACTAACCACAAAAAGCTGTAAACGTTCGGCTACTCACATTACACAGAGTGTATTAGGTTGCCTAGACAACCAGCAACCCTGAGCTATTGTTACTGTTGTTGGTTGTGGTATAATTGCACAGTAATGCACTACTACATTGTCTTGAAATGGAATTCAACCGTTTTTAATTAAATGTTGCCTTTGATACGGTGAAAGTGTGAAAATATTCAAAAACAAAAATATAAATAAATCTTGTGAAATGCTTCAACAGTCTCTAAGACGAGTGTTTATTCATTATAAATCCTCATAACCGTTGGTACTTTCATTCATAGACTTGTCACGGTAGTGATTGTAGGTTCTTCTTTTTCTATTCTCTATTTGGACTTTGCATCATTCGGCCTTGGACGAGTCATCACAGGTGGAAAACTGTGCCGACGTTTCTGAGCCGCATCACCTGGAAGAGTGTGGAGCGCCGGTCGGTTATGGCCAGCACTGCCGACATCCAGGTCAACGCTAACAGGGGGAGAACCACGCAGGAGCTCCACAGAGACGCCCTGCCGAAGTAACAGACAGTGATCCAGGCGGGGGGGGTGGGTGCGGGGGGTGGGGGGGAGAAGGAGATGTCACACAGGGTTCAGTCTCAAACCAGGCCGGCTTTGGTAATTCACACCACTCAATTTCTCCCCCACACACACGCAGACACACACACACACACACACACACACACACACACGCAGACACACACACAGATCCGTCTTACATTCATTGGTGGTCAATTTGAAGCTGATTGGCACACGGAGGGTTTGCGTCACACTACATACTAATACTACTAAAGTATGTGCAATCATGTAGAAAAACAGATCTACATGATATACTGACAATTGCTCACAATTACAGGGCTGATGTGCTCAAAAGTGTCACATTGGAGCTCCTGCAGAGTCAGTGAGTGTGTGTGTGTGTGTGTGTGTGTGTGCGTGTGTGTGTGTGTAACTCTATGAAATCAGACGCCAATTTAGAATGTTCATGGTGTTTGAGCACATATTCCTGGTTTTATAACGTTCAGGCTGACAGGCTGCCTACGTTAGGAAATATGCACGCCCCTTTTCAGATGGATGTCTGAGGCAATGCATAAAAGAGAAAATGGAGCAATAAAGACAAAGCTGTGCCGTTGTTAAACTTTCCAGATGTTGTCGCCTGTGTTTGTCAACCACACAATATGGTCCAATAAAGTAACAGTAATAGCCAACATTCTATGTGACAAGGCACTCTCTTATTCTGCAAGTGTACCTCATCATACATAATAAGTGTCTTTTAATGAGCTGTTGTATTTCAAAGTTCTACAAAGTCATTAGGAAGCAAGGGAATATGGGGAAAAGCGTATTTTGCCACACTTTTAAATGGTTATTATCTCTTATTGAAATTAATTCCCAAGTTGTAGTGTTGAATGCTTTATCAAGACACTGTATAAATAGAACCGGCGTACTTTATAAAAATGATTATTATTCCCAGCAATATTTAAGCTGAATACTTGTGTTTATATATTAGAATTTCACACTAGCATTTCCGTAAGCGGATCAGCAAATAAACGGCGCACTGCGACCAGCAGGTAGTCATGTGCATACAAATGACCCATCTAACAATGGACCATATGCACTTGGCAAAGACGTAGGTGGATCTCAGATGGTGTGAAAGAAAGTCAATAATGGCCCTGTGTTTTCCCGGAGACGAGGAGTAACTGATACAAATTTGTTACTGCAAATAGGCAATCTCACCCCATCAGCGTTCAATCGTGAAACAACACAACCAAGAAAAGATCTCCTATTTTGATCAGAACCCTCGTCCAAAGTAAACACAAAGCCATAATGGAGGGTTTGCACAAGGACATAGTTAAATACGCACAGCGTTGTTTGCGAGGGTGAAACGGAAGGAGGGCCTTTCATTAACAAGAAAGAAGGAACCTTGATAACAAGCCTCTAATTAGGATACATTTTCTTGTTCCACTATAGTAGCACATCTGAACATGCAAGAGATGCTGCAAAGGTGGATTTGATTGCCTGTCAATGGATGCTCATGAAAGAGAGAGACTAACAGACCTAAAGGAGTCAACCGTGGAAACCACAACAACAGGGCTGACGGAGCGAACAGAGTTTACGTCAAAAGGGGCGAGGGGAGGATGGGCGCTACGCCTCGTGTCAGCATGTGGATATCAGCTGTTACCACCATGAGAGAGGCTTGCAGAGCGGCGGCCGTGAGGTAACCAGCGGGGCCACGCTCACGTGAACGAACAAGCAGCGAAAGCAGGCGCGGCTAAGTCAATAAAGCAAGGAGAAGCTTGCATAATAACGCAGCAAATCCATTCACAGGAAACAGCTGCTTTAGTGAAGTTCAGAGTGATAAATGCAGCTCAGTCAAAGAGCACATAGAAATATCCGATAATATAAAAATACCTGCTATACATCCACCCGTGTCTCTTATCGTGGTTTTTACCTTTTGTATTCAAAATGATTGCTTTTATAACAGGTATTTGTCGCTGCATTGTTTGGATAATGTGCTCCATTGATTATGGACAAAAGCAGAAATGCAAAAACAAGACCAGATATTGGGATTTTGGTAGGACTAAAAGTTAAAAAACAATGGATTATAGCATGTGTTGTTAGACCTTTCAAACTCCCCAAGCGCTCATGACTCAACAAGGCGTCTACCAGCGCCATACACACATTTCAAAACGGTTTTCAAAGGATTTGGAACACTCCAAACAATAAGACAATTGATTTCCTCATTGGTCTCCCTGAGGAATGTTCTCTCCAAACTCTAAAAGATGCTTGAAATAAAACTCTTTATATGCATGCAGCTCCAGAATATATGTAATAATAATTGTATGTTTAAATGCTTTATCGGTCGTTCCTCATTCTATTGCCAAACTGAAATGAGACAAGTTGGCCGTGAACAAACAACTACTTATTTACAAAGTAGCAACACGAGCATAAAATCATTTTTCCTGACATTGGACTGCCCTGGCATGTTTAGCCTCTGCAATTCTGCACTAAAACCAAGTAAAAACAAACTCCGAAAAGGATAAACAAACTGTGTGACAGGGGTCAGGTTGGCTCTGCATGACCTGAGGAAAAGCCCCTTTGGCTCAAAACATGGTCTCATTAAATAGCGATGGCTCGCAGCGAAGCTTTTTCTCTTTCTGGTACTTTTTTCTTTTTTTTTTTTTTTAAACCAACTAAATGTCATCCTGCATCATTAGCGACGGTTCAGGATTAAAATGATGGAGGAGAGAGAGAAGCAGAAAGAGAGACAGAGAGAGAGAAAGAAGAATGCAGAGGAAGAAACAAATGAAAAGATGAAGATGGACTAACATGGCGCTGCTGGCAGTCGAGCTGGACAAAGCGGTGCTCGAGATCACGCCACACTTGGAGCATTTCAGGAGCAGTCGGCTACGCGCCTCCGCTGGGACACTTAAGGACATGTTCACACAGACACACACACACACACATATATTGGCAGCCATGTGGGAAGGGAGCGGGGTTGGGAATGTGTGGAAACACAAGTTCCAGTGATGGCAACAGGTGAATGTCAGTGTGGCAAAAATAAACAAGAATAAAAAAGTAGGAGAAAAAGTGGACAAAACAGAGAATATTGGGAAAAGGAAAAGGGGTGAGGGGGGGGGGGGGGGTGTAGGGGGAGAAAAAAAGAAAAGAAAGCAAATTAAAAACAGATCTTAAAATGTAGCAGCAATGAATAACAGTCAGAATACAAAGATTGACTCAGCGCAAAGGGGGGAGAAGGTGAGAGACGGACATTGCAATGTTACGGCGAAATAGCGTGCGAAGTAGCAAAACAGTGGAGCTGTATCAGTGAAGCTGGTTGTTTGCGTATAATTGACTACCCTGAAACGTTTGGTGCGAATGTGTTTGTGCAGCAGTGTACACCGCGAGAGGGGACTGATGGGGCCATGCAGGGGCTATGCTACATTAGCGTCCCATCACAGCTCATTGCGTTATAGCGGCGGCCACATCGCCGCGGCTTCATGAGGAAATACATTTGGCTAATGGCAGCCTGTCCTGTTAGCAACGCGGGCAACTACTGCGCGCGGGTAGCGCTTAGGTGTGTGTCCGCCTGTAAACACACACTCCTGAGAATCTGAGGAGGACTGGATTAAAACTGGGATAACACCAAGGATTTAGCCCGGAAAACAAAAGCCGCTCGCATCTGTTTGTGTGTGTGTGTGTGTGTGTGTGTGTGTCTGTGTGTGTGCACATCAATCGGTTTAATCTCAGTCGAATCGAATGTTAACAAAAGCTTATCAACCCCCCCAGACAGCCGATCGGTAATATAACCCTTGCAGCTACGGACAAATTGTCGATTTTTTAATTTGTGCAGGAGACAGACATGGGAGGAAATGTAACAAGATAAAACCATTCCGACTCGGCCGACTAGAGATGAGAATATATATCCCTCTGTTATTAGCAAAGATGATGTGCAACCATATAGTAATGTTCTAAGTGAATGCACAGGCATGCACATCGCATATCTAAGCATATGATATGGTTGCACATCTAACGGATCTCAATAGAGCCTATGATTTAGATTTGATTTTCATATTCACCTGTGACACTAAATACTAAGAAAATCAGACGTGGAAGCGATTGTAAAATGCTGAAAGATTTCACAGAGCAACACAACGTAGCAGGTGTCGCGTCATTTTGATGCCAAATTGGACCGTATTTTCTTCCTCTTTTTTTTTTTTCGGGAGGCGCAGGTGCAAAAGTAGGAGTTTGTTCAGAGACCCTTGAAAGCGGTTGGAATTGGTTGCCGTGAAAATTGCGTCTCGCTGAATATGTGTCTGCCAGAGAGATTTATTTAATGCGGCAAATTTGTAGTCGCTCCCACCAAAACAGTGTTGATGGATGAGTAAGCGCCGGGTGCTGATGTCTTTAGTGCAAAGAGTGTGTAGGTGTGCGTGTGTGTAAGACGCAGAAGGTTTAGGAAGTTGACTTACCCGGCTCGTTGCTTTTTAGACTTGTCTGAGATGCCGTCTCTTGACATGAGCTTATTAAACACCACGATTCCAATGAGCATATTAACCTAAGAGACGTGGAGAGAGAAGGATGGTTGGAATTTTATTAAATGTTTTATTTTGTGCAAATCACATTTTGATTAAAAAAAAGCATTTATAGATTTTATATTTCCCAGTTATAACTCAAAAGATAATATTAGACAAAACGGCCAAAGAGAAAGTGGCTTACGATTAAAATAATGGAGTGGAATAATGGAATTGCATTCTGGTCCAAAATACCCGTTTCATGGTTTCAAAAATATATATCAATTTAACACTCACTGGCCTCTCTGCCAAACACCTGGCAAGCGTCAACCGGCGACAAAGGTTCTATTTGGCACAAGTGATCGGAGACCTCTTCTGCTGTGAAACCCTGTCCACCTGGGACATCGGTGCCACATATTCCGTCTAAGCCTCATTTTATATCTACTCTTTCTATCACGCGTGTCCCTGTGGAGTTTCTGCTTGGTTATTCATCTGGCGGACCATTAGTAACAAATGACACTCCCGCTCTGTCTATGCCCATTCCTATTCTTATCAAAGCCCTTAACTGAATGTCTGCCTGGATTCTTTCCCCATCGGCAACGTCTGGCCAGGCAGACGTATTTTACACATTCAGTACATGGTTGCTGGAAATCCCAAAGAGAGAGCCGAGTTAAAAGTCTTACTTTGATGTGGTCAGTCGGATTTCCAGTTTTTCGCAGCCTTTGCAGGAGCCGGATTTTGATTTGAAGCCTATTTCTTTACTGCATCTACTACTGTACATCTGCCAGCTTTTGCAAAAAAGTCTAAAACTCTCTCTCTCGCTGATGCTCTTCCCCCTCATGCGCGTGCTGCATCTGACAGCTACCTACGATGTGCCAGATTGTGCGCGCACCGTTGTCATGCCAGTCATGTCCGGCCCCGGCGCTTTGAGTCCGCATCCTCCTGCTCTGCTACTTGCCCGGGGCTAGCTTGATTAATTAGAAAAGAGACCTGTGGGAAGGCCCGCTCTCATTACAGGTGTTTGTTGGGAGTGGGGCCCCAGCAACAACACCGGGGGCCCGGGGACTGTTACAGGACATAGCAGCTGGGGTGTGGAGTGTAAATCGACATTGTGGAGGTGGAGGGAGGTTGGATTCGATCCAAGAAACAACAGGCGGACACACAAAGTATGAGGATAACTGTGCTTCAAATTGGCAAAATGTCTGACCTTTTTAGCGCTTAAAAGTGGATTCCCCAAATGCTCAACCATTCTTGTATTATAATGCGGTAGTTTTACAATTAGTAATGTATGTACAATACATACGATAAAGCTCCAATCCTGTGCTAATGTTTTATAGAATTGTTTTTTTTCCACTATGTAGCCTTTAAATAATAGTAGTACTGGAAGCCACAACATTGCAATAATCATGAATTTTCAGCACTATATAATCCTGCGTTCCCTCGTGTCCCAAACTGTCAAACTGTCTCTCTCGTCAGGAATTTACTTAAAAAACAGGCATATCGCTCTCCAAACCGGTGACGCTTTCTGATCCACGCTTCTTTACTTTCATGGTGCTACACAGCGAGGCAGCAAGCAACAAGGAATAAAACCCCAACATGTGAGCAGAAACACAATAACAGCAGCAGTGGCGGCAGCAGCAATTACCAAACTAACGTTCCGCACCCTGTCCAGATTTATTAAGCATGGTGGTGGAAATATCCACTCAGGGTTTCATTCTGCAGGAATGATTCTCCTTGAAACAGCCACATACAGCAGCACACAACAGATGATTAGAGCACCACTGAGATGCAATCAAGGCACTCAATTTTGTTGGAGAACAATACAAAGCTATATGTTATTGCATTGTAAACGTCTGTTTTTTTTACCAATTGGGAAAAGGGTAACAAAGCGAACATTATCATGATTGCGGTGCACATCGTGAGTCACATATTCATGCTTTACAACACACATAAATGACTCATACATTGAATGTGGGGGGGAAGTGAAAGGAGAAGGACACACCCTCAGAGGTCACCTGCAGCTGCTTTAAATGCAGGCTAACTTTGAAGACACGTTAGTACGATTATATCATAATCCCGTTGAGAGGATCCGTCGGACAGACTCACCAGCACGATGACCGCGGCTGGCCCAACGAAGGCATAAAGCAGGCCGCCCTCCAAGGACAACCAGCAGCTAAAAGGGGGGAAAAAGAGCACAGAGTAACATTCAGGACTCGCATTTCACTGGTTGTGAGCGCAGAGCACTTGAACACAAGTAGTAAGCCGACAATTAAGGATCTTGGATTTCCTAAGTGACGGATAATTTCTATTGCTGGGTAAGTGCTCGACTCTGTAAATATTGCCCTCCGTGCCATGCAAATGTATTATGTACATTACCTAAAACATACCCCCAAACTGTAAATGCTCTTGTGGAACTTAATGAGTGTAAATGTGTCCTCCGGTGATGTCATCAGAGCATACTGAAGCCCTGCTGGTGTCTTAATTGCGGCTCAATAAAAAAAGGCCTAGAAGCTAATATCCACTCCTTTTCTTAATGAGATGTTGGGTAAAGAAAGAGGGAACAAAGTCGTAAACGTGTTTTCATTGAATCCTTCACACCCTTAACGGGGTAACAGGGCTCTTTGTTGGCAAACATAGTTTAACAGAAACAGTAATTGTCAATAATTGTGCTGCTTCAAAGTAAACATCCAAAATGCGCTTCACATATGCCTCACGGCTGTTTCTTCAATGAGATCAATTCAAATTGAGTGTTAAGCTTTTTATCTTAGTAATGGAGTCTCAAATAAACAATATTTTCTCCCACAGTCAGAATATTCAGTTTTTTGCAATTGAGAGATATCTGCGTTTGCGTTTAAAGTGGCACTCACTTTGAATAAGGTGATGTCATATACTCTTAGTATTATTAGTAGTAGTATTAGTACTGTTTGTTGTTCTTGGAGCGGAGCCTGCGCTGAATCCATAACCACCTCGGGTGAGTGGTTAAAAATGCATTCAGATACTAGTTTATGAAATGAAGCTTGGCTAAAAGGCCTTCGTGTGCTAATAAGTCAGGCGGCGTTGGGGACAGTGCAGGGGTGGGGGGGGGGTCGGAGAGCGGGTACTCACTAGCTCGCTGTGCCGTATCCTCTCGCTCTGGTGAACCCCACCGACACCGCTACCACGAGAGCTGGAAGACCTGCAGGAACGCAGAGAGGGGAAGATCAAAAGGGCGAGACAAAAGATAAAAGGGAGCCTCGATGGGGACTGTGAAGCTTGTCGGCCGAATACAATTCTCGAGTTGCGAACGACTCCGCGTGGATCGTTCCCGTTCGAAGGTTAAGAAGGCGCGCGATGGCGCGCTACGTGTGCACGTGAGATTGAAACCGAGTCGCGGCTTTGTAGGCGGCTACGCGTGCTTCCCCGACACGCAGGTCCAGCAGCATGACAACTGGGCTTAGGTCGCGGCTCCTTGCAGGGACAGAAGCTCTGATGGCGAGCAACTCCATGAATGTGGGCATGTGAGACGGAAAGAGAGTGCATAAAAACGTGAGCTATGACTAGAAATGGTCAATGGTCAATCATTTGTGAATTAATTAGCTGAATCATCCACGGTGTGTGTGTGTGTGTGTTTGCGAAAATGAATGTCACAGAGTACGCGCCAGAAAAAAGAAGGAAGTATGCTGGGCTCGGTAATGAGCTTGGCTCTGAAATGTTCAAGTAATTAACAAAGCTGTGATTATGGCTGCAAATGAAAAGCAATTAGAAAAAGTCACATTAACATTAACAAATAAGATGGTGGGGAGCCAGGCTGCTTCTCTAGCCGCCGAACGCAATGTTCCCTTCTGCCGTTCACTGACGTATAATACGGTGAAGGCGGACACATACGTAACGCGGACATGTCCTGCTAATCTAACACAGCTCCAGGCAGCCCAAAATCCTCTGTTTCCATGGCAACCGATGTCAATCACAACATCTGGGGAGGAAAAATGGTCGGAAAGGGGGGACGTGATCGGGGAGAAGCTGTTTGATCAGGGGATACATGTACAGCTGCCCCTGCGTACCCCTTCCTCCCCCTCCTCCCCACACACACTGACACTATCTCCCCCTCCATCTGTCACTGTAAAACAATCTATACATTCTCTGTATCAGGTAAGGGCATTGATGACTTGGCAGATAAGACTGGTGGGATCAATATCCAGCAAAATGAACAGACGGTGTGTGTGTGTCAGACAATGGGGTTAGAGTGTGTGGTTGTAGTTTCCAAGGATATATCTTGAAACATCTGGCCTGTGTTGAGCAGATGTTATCATGTGTTCTAATTATCCGCAAACATCACTGGTGCCTATTGCGAGTGAAGCATAATAAAGTGACACGCAGGGTAAATGGGACAAAGGTGACGCTCGGCTGAAAGGAGAGGGATTATTTTTTAGAGTTAATTCTGTGAGTGTAAATGCCTGTGAAAGTTCACTTCTAGCTTTGGCTGTAATTAGTAGCATTATATTAAAAACTGTAATGACTGTCTTCCAGGAAATTGATTCCTTAATGTAGTCAAATAATAGCCAAGTAAATGGGGGGGGAAATTGGAACAGCGGAAATGAAGGTTATTCAATATAATTCAGCAAACACTTGTCAGAACTCTAGTTGTCAGAACTACAACATGAAAATCGGTTACATTTTTAGATGGAAAAAGAAAAAAAAAAACACGTCATGCCGCTTTCCATCACAAGTCAAACAACAAGCACCATCAAATTCATGAAAGCTATGGGGAAAATTCTCCTTCACACAAAGAGCCAAGCGCCGAGAGAAACTTACCTATGAGTTACAGCGGATTAAACTGAATAGTCTATTTGAAAATGCATAAAGTAGAAAAGTTTAAGCCGTTACTCGTATATGCTCATACCTTTGAAGGCTGTTGCAAAATAAACTCAAATTGCAGCTGTTCAGAAGTAGAGTTCTATGAGCTACATATTCATAATTCGCCTCAGTAGAAGAAGCAGGAAAGCTTAAGAGCAAAGTACTGTGCTTTTGTGGAAAACTATTATAGCCATTTAGAAGTACCAATGGATCCTACATTTAGTATCCATTCCGATTTTGAAGAACACTTCGACAGGTGTCAATATCAGTTCAGTTCCCTGTTGGAAATTGTGTTTAAAACATTCTAAATATAGCGTACAACTTTTCTTGTCTTTAAGTTGGCTAAATAATCTTTTGCTGCTCTTCTTATCCGCGGCAGTATATATCGATTTGCTCTTATCTTTTTTCTCCAAACCGGGGGGTCGGCGGCATCCGCGGCGGGTAACACAAAGGTCACGGATAATGCCGCAATCCATCTGAACCAGTTGGAAATTTCGACGTGAACGCCGCCTGAAGTCGTGCTGCAGTCACGCCAACGAGATAGCGGCGGTAAAATGCTGCTCATTGTCGAGCCTGTGATGTGGCACACATACAGTAGCACCCTAGTAACGCCATGACGTTGCTATGGCGTTCAGAACGCAGTCAACTTAGGCCCATTGTGAAGGTAAATGAAAGGCATCTCTTCGAAAGAAGACATCGAATGAGCCCGCTCGACGTTCTCAAGGAAGCGTACGGAGGGAGAGCAATTTAGTCAACAAAGAAAAACGACTTTGGAAATGAGGTAACTACGGGACGATTTCATGTATCACATCACAGCATCGCATGCAAGAACAAAACGCTCACCCCAGCCGAGGCACAGGAAACGCTTGCGAATGAGTCGTGACCTCATTTTGCCAAGGACAGCGAGATACGACTGCCACGCCTCCGTCAGCACCCAGCAGAAGGATGCCAAGAAGAAGAAGTGCAGGAACGCGGCAGTCACAGTACATAGACCCTAAAACAGAAAAGAAACAAAAAAAACTTGTAGACCCCTTTGCAAAGAAACGTAAAAACTAGTCATAATGAATCATCTAATACGGTTGTTCAGCCAGTGCAAATGAAACCTACGCAAAAGAAAGAGGATGAAAGGATAAAAAGCAGTGCGATCAAGCTAATACTGTTCAGAACGTCTAGACCTTTTTATTTCCAGTTATTGAAAAAATGCTCGTTCGAGAACACTTTGAATGGGATTGTGATTGCGTTGATTATCGTTTATGGGGGGGGAGGATGTTCGGGAGCAGAATGTTTCGTCTGTGTTGTTCCGCGCACACTGCCTCACCTTGCTAAGGGTTTGAGATTGTCCCACCAGAATCAATAAATTGGAGGCCAAAATGGAGAGGCAAAAATTCACCAAGATTATGGATCTCTCCGAACGTATGTACCTACAGAGCAGAGGAGAAGAAAGAAGACAGAGAGAGAGAGAGAGGGAGGAACAGCGGGGACAGACATACGAGATGAGTATTAATGACAGATTAACAGACTGAACAGTATCTTTTGGACATTGTACAGAGTCATTAGCCTGATTCTTCCATCTGTCATGTGTGCCACCAAAACTAATCACCGCCCCCGCTGCTGTAGTTGAACCATTTGTTCCTTATTAGGCCTCGTTGGAGTTTTGGCAGAGCAAAGGACACACACACAAATTGCATTTTTGCATTTATTGGTGCTTTGGATTGCAAATGGGAAAAAAAAAATCCCCCTCCGGCTGCAAAAGGAATGTGTCTGTATGGTCAGCGTTGCTCGCGTACCTCCAGAAGGCAGCGTAGATTAGCAGCAGGATGAGAAGAGCGGTGCAGGAAACGCCACAGCCCACCATGAGGGGCAGAGAGGGCATGCTGGTAGGACCCATGTCCTGACGAGGGAAAAGATATGGAAAAGGAAGGAGAGAAGAGAAAGGGCGAAGGGTTATTTATATATGCAAGGTCAAGTATTATCCCACACCGGTCCCCACTACAAAAAGACAGCAAAATAGTCACAATTAGAGCATCCAAAGCAGAAGTCATGTAGAATATTTCCAAGTAAGAATGAGTGTGTGCGTCACGATTACAGGATGAATTAAATAAATGAAAACACCATGGCGGCAACCAGTCAATCCCGTTAATCATGCACGTGTTCGCTGTTTTACTTTGTCACTAATCTCCCCTGTCATTTCAGTTCCTGTCCTCGCGTTCCTCCTGATCCTACACTCGCTGCAACCTGCACTTAATCACCTGGCCCCGGTTCCCCCCCCGGCCCCTCTGCCAACCCCACAAATAGAGTCCGCTGCTCCCCCTGTTTGGCTGCCAGATCTCCTTGTGTCACCCCGTGTACTCATTGCTCTACAGTATTTCCTTCCAGCGTTTGCTTCTGTGGTTGATGACTTTGTCTGCTCTTGACTTTTGGATTTTGCCGGCTCCCCGTTGGTGTTGTTTGCCTCCATCGACGGACCTCCTGTGTATGACGACCTCTTGCCAGATAAAGGACCTTGCCTACTACGTCTCCTGTGTCTCTGTTCCGGCCCAGAACGGTTGCAGTAAACCAAATGAACACCCTGCTTCGTTGAAATATACTTAAAAATAGTTATTGACACCATAAACTCTTGTTAACGATGATAACTGAGAAAATAAACCCAGTGAGAAATAGGGCAATTTAAAAAAAATAGACCATCCAATTACTTTTTGAAGCCAGATGAAACGCCCTGACGATGGTTATTAGACAGAATGGAAGTTTAAGGCACTGCTACAGACTTCTAAGTAAGACAGTGATTTTGTGTTGTTAAATTTCCTTTCGTGCTTAATGAAGTCCGCACTAAAATGACTGTAAGGTATGAATTAGCTTTGTTTTCCATCATAATAATGAAAGCCTATTGTTCTCAATGACTGAAATATTTCCTAAGTCGTTCTTCTGAAGAAGAAAACAGCACCTTCAGAAAAATATTTAAAATTTTAATTATAAATTGTATATTCTGTTTCATAGACTCGGTCAGCATGCGAAAGGGATACAAGAGCCCATAAATAGATAGCTACAATGTAAAATGGATTCATGTGTGAGGGAGAGTGACTACAGATTGCAATAGAATCCTGTTTTCTTTTATCTTTTCCTTTATAGATAATAATAATTGTAGACATACTTCCCTGTTTGGAGGTGCAGTTTAACTTAAGTCTAAGTCTTCCTGAGTTGTAATCTCTTCGACAGACCCTTTTAATTGCATTATACCTAATAATTACATGCAATCATGACTTGGTGATGTATGGAGGATGGAGCTGGAGAATAACAAATAATTATCCTAATATGAAAGCTCCCGTTTGTTGGAAGAAACTATACCACTTGGCTTAAACCTATGCACCTCTTACAGATTCAACTCACATTCGCTTTAAGAGATAAGGTTGTCGACGTAGAGATGGTACAGTAGACGCAAGCGTTGCAACTACTTACAACCATTGTATACTTTCAGCCAAACAAGACTGAAAGCACTCAACCGTAGGGCATAATTGTACGATTTAGGTCATTCGGGTGTTCAGCGGGCCTCTGATATGATTCTCTCCCGAGGTGAGCCTTTGAAAGGATGAGGAAGAGACAAATGAAGCCGCATGGCGAGCGTACACCCCGCCGAGTCCCAAATGGGCTTAATGTTTGCCCTGCTTTCAAGTTCTCAATCACACAATTTACCTCAATTTACCTCCTAGTGTGTCTGGCCTTCCCTTTTCGGCCCAGCAGTGTAGCACAGAACACAGACGCTGTACAAGGTGTCTTTAACAGCAGAATAAGTAGATATTTAAACACAAAGGTAATTGAAAGTCCAGGTTCGAGCTGCATGAATGCATTTGTGTGTCTATTCAACAGGAGCCAAAGGCGAGAAAAGACACAGGGAGGACTAAAGAATGCATACTCAAAAGGAGAAGGAAAGATATTTGGAGAGAGATGAAGAGGGAACATTTGAGCACCCCTAAGATAAAGCAAAGGATTGTGGGAGGGAAAAATAGAGACAGCGTCAAAGCGACTCTTTTAGTGGTTTTCCCTGGAATCATCAAAGGTAGCCTATTTCTCTGGAGGAGAGTGGAATCGGGTGGAATACCAATATGGCCAGCACGCACAAAGACACGGGGAGGGGAATCGCAATAAAAACCACGTAATAATAAAGGAGCGACCCGCAAGAAGAACAGAAAGAGGGGGAGACCACAGAGGCTCTTTGATATAACGTCGAGAGGAAGGTCAAAGGATTTGCAGGCATTTGTTTTTTAGTGGTCTGATGGATCAAACACGCGAGATGCAAAGGAACAAGCGCAGACGCACGCGCCCAACGACACCATCACCCCCCCACACACGTACAAATAAGAGCGCTGAATTTCCTTTTTCAGTCCCCTTTCGTCTGTCAGAAATGAACCTCTAACGGTAAGTAATGGAACCAATTACACCTGTACTTGTCATGTACTAGATACACATTCACAAATTGTCCAACAGCACTTAATTGTGGCAATTTGTTAAGTGTTCTAAGTGTCCTTAATTTGTGTTGCCAGGTAACGTGTGTATGATGAGAAGTGGAAGAAAAAGAAATTAAAAGGAAACGCCCACACAAACACAATATCACAGGCCCCAGGCTCCAAGTGATAACACAAATGCCCTGCTCTGAATATAGTCATATTATGTTGCAGTTGGAAGGGGAAGTGTATTTGTTGCGTGTGTGTGTGTATGTGTGTGTGTGTGTGAGGGACCAGAAAAGCACACGGAGAAAGCGCGGATTATAAAGCGTGTGCTGAGGCTCTGCCGTGTACGGCCAGGCTCCCCTGGGCAGCTTGGCTACCATGTGATGGAGACGATAGCTATTTTCAGCTCAGGAAGTTTAACCTACTTATCTCCTCTCGCTGACACTCCTCCACCCTCCAATGTTACTGGCCAGCCTCCTCCTTCCGTTTATCTCCCTCTCTGTGTCTCTTCTTAGCCCATTTCCTCCTTCACCTTCTTACTCACACCTCAGCAGCAGGTCTCTCAAATTCTCCTCGCTAATCATTTTCGATCGACTCGTCCGGGGAGATCATCGAGATTTATAAATTGTTTCCAGGTCGTACCCCAAATGCATCTTTTAGATGGAAAATATCTGCACTTGCTAAAACTCCATAGGACAGCTCGCAGTAAGTGTGTGTGTTTTCGTGCACTAATCACCACTCTGCTCATGTGATGTGGCCATTTAGGCTCTGACGATGCTACGTCTGTTGGAAAATCTTGGAAAAGGTCCATTTTCATAGTGCTTCTTGGGAGCACACCACAAAAAGGCACCACAGGGCTTTTCATCCGTTTCTTCACAAAACTGCTGTAATTACCGATACTGAACCCGATCCATGTGAAGGTTTGTTTGGTCAGCTTAAAAACTACTTTGCAGAGTTCCGGGGCCAGACTGGGCTCATGCTTACAGCAATCACTCGCTGTTCTGTGAGGCTGAACTTAAGCACAGCTGAGCTTTTTAAATGAATGCTAATGCCAGCCTGCTAACATCCTGACCACAGCAATGCTAACAGGTTGGTGTTAAGCAGGCGTAAAGTTCATTGCTTTGTATCGTATTGCCCGGCTCAATTTAGCTTGTCGGCGTGCACATTTGGTTAATTAGAATTTAACAGCTGATGCTGAGATTGAAGGTTATGCTATTGATATGATATTTTGCTCAGATTTGAAAATAACGCCCAAAATATTTAAACTGCTCGGTTAAAGCTGCTATAATCAACATAGGCTTATTCGGATTGGAGAAGATGTCATTTTACTTGTTGGTGGATTTCCCCCCCCACACACACACACATTAGTGCTGTCAAAATTGCTCAAAAATGACGTTTGAATATTCGCTTAAAAAAAAAACACAAATTCAAATATATTCGAATATCTGGTTGCGCATTAGGCACGTCAATAACAGGACAAATAAATACGACAACGAGGCATAACTACTTGTATAGGTCATTTATTTAAGTTTAAACCGATTTAACAACATATTACCTACACAAAAATAAGTAAATTAACTAACGGCCAAGACCGAAGACCTCTCTCTCTCTCTCTCTCTCTAATTTGTGCTGTAAAAACTTTTCCTTGCCATGAAACGGCAAACAATCAAAGCGGTGCATGAAGCTGTTGTAGCCTATCTGGTCTATTTTATTTGTGCAATATATAGTCAGTACAGGCGGAAAGAAGGCAAGGCTAAAGGGAGACTGAATACCGGACTTACATTTATTTTGTTGCCGGAAAACTACTCAGGATTACGGCCAACATCGATCAGTTCAAGCCAGATGTGTAAATACACTGAACTGACTGCTCATAGACGTCACTGAAGACTCACGTGACTCATGACCGACAACCACACATGCAGACTGTGGCACGGCACAAAACTCACCCATCTTTCCATCTGGTGTTCCTGCTATTCAGTTGCCTGTTTGGCTGTGACGGCAGTAAATGACACCTGCGATATGCTGAATCAATTCAGCAGAGCCTTAAGGGTTTCAGCTTGACAGACTCTGGCCTCTCGTGAGCCTCTGGTCGGTGTGTGACATCCAGGAGAGCCCCATTTGAGTTCTGCTCTGCTTGTTGAAGCAATATTAGCGACAACCTGTAGGCCTTATGCAAATACTATTTGATATCAAAGCTATTAGGACGATATACTAATTCTTTGGCTCAGTCATAGACACTATAACAGGCTTTGTTGGTTCACACTAATCGGATCAAATTCCATCCACGGGGTCAGCAAAAGGACACAAGCCCCGCCCCGCTGTCTGCTTTGGAAGGAAAACGAGGGAATACAAAATGAAATCTACGTCTAAAAATAATCCCCTTGTTAATAGTTAAAAATAACAATTCTGTTGCTGTGTCAAAAGTATCAAATGATTCATCTTATCAAATCTATCCTACCGGGGGTCCGCCATTAAGCCAGAGAAACGCCGCTAAATAATTTAACCTGTGTACTCTCAGATGATCTCCCCAGTTAGTAAATAACCTTCAATTAATGCAACGGGGGATCCAAACACTCTAATGCAATTCCATGCAGAGCCTCCCATCATTGTAGCAACCCTGATCTTTTGATTACAGTTGACAAGTGCGAGGTATTTGCATCCTCTAACCTTGTCTCGCTCAATCTAGGGCAGCCCTCGCTTTCTTTGCTAAACCACTGTCTGCAGTTAAGCAGTAACAACCGTCGCGTGCCGCTTGAATCATCGCCATCATCCCTCGGCAGTCGAATCGGGCAAGTTGACCGTCCTTTTCCGAGAAACACAACCGCCTGCGTGATGTTTTCTTTGTGATTAGGTGCTGGCGAGCACTAAGTGACAGGAGAGGACCACAGACTTCAGTAGACCAGATCGTCACAGCCCAGAGCAGTTCGCCCGACAGGTAAAAGAATCCGTGAGCGATGTTTTACAGCAGAGGCAGAGATCACTTTACATAGTCTCCTCGCTTTGATGCAGTAATTGCCTCAAAGATGAATTATGGAAATGTTGCCCCCCCCCCCCCCCCCCCCCCCCCCTTAATTTCTTTCGAAAAAAAGGGGGGGGTGTGGAGGGTGCCCCTCCCCCACGAGAGGATCAAGGGTCCAAGGGGTGTAGATATTCCCGCACCCCTCCCTCACATTTCCGGTTACCTGCTTAGGCGAGCACAAGCCGCGGCTCCCACTTTAAAAAACGTGTTTGGAAGACGTGTCTAATAAAGTGGCGACCAAGTGCACACGTCAACACAAAGAAGGCAGCCGACGCACAACTCGACAGGTTTAACCCTGGGCTCTGAATGTTACAACAGACTTTCACCAAGCCGATGCCTCCTTCCGCTCCAGATCCCGCCACACCCTCTGGCGCCGCTGAGGCGATGCGACCCGGCGCGTCCGCAGGGTGCGTGTTCCCAGTTCCGCAGTCGTTTCGGGGGATTGAGTGGCTCTGTTCATTGTGCGGCGTTGTGACTTCCCTCAATCAACTGCTCCTTCTCCCTCTCTCTCTCTCTCTCCTCGGTTTCCCTGAAGTAACAGCCTCTGTCTTGTGTCTGATAGCGAAGGTCCCTCTACAGACACACAACAGGGTACTCACACGCAATGTGTGTGCAGGCTGCAGCGCACACAGAAATCTCAGAGGCCACAGAAAGTAAACAGGATTAAGCGGCTATCCCTCGCTTCACTGTAAACTGCCTGTAATGGCAACGCCGCTTCTAAATCCCTCCATCTCTTCCCCCCACCCCCCCATCTCCCGTTTCTATTAAACATGGAGGTTAATCCTACAACCCCCCCTGCCCCTCGCGCTGTGGCCGCCCCCGGATAAGCTGTCAGAGCTGGGCTGCTGAGTAGCAAACTGGACACGAGCACAGTGTGAGTTTTAGTGTCCACATCTAAAGCGGCCCCCCCCCCCCCCTCCCCTCTTCCATGGCACACTTGCATGTTTCCTTTGTCCTTTATTGAACCAAACAGTGGCCCCCGGAAGCAAACAGAGTTGACTTGACAAGTGGTGAATGGAAGCCACAGACACACACAGACTGACCCCGTAACCTTCCGCGTCTCCAGCGCTGGCTAATGGCGAGCTGAATAGCGAATCAACTAATGACTAACGCGCTCTTCACAGATATTACACAAAAAAAGTCAATGTGTTTTTTCTCTCCTCGCCCTCTTTCACCAAACGCGGTCGACCTGCTTGCTGTGGAAAGCAAAAGTCAATATTGTTCAGTTGGAAGAGGAGTCCCAGGAAGCCGGAACGGCAGCGGGAGTGGCCCATTGAGAGCGTAGGTCAGAGCCATTGTGTTTTTCCTACATAATGGGAATTAATGTTTCCCCTTGTTCAGTGAAAGGTGCCAGACCCTTGTGAAGTAATTCAAGGTTTGAGGTACAAAATAATGAATAACTGCAGTCATTCCCCTGGAGGGCATCACCTTATTTTGACCCTCTTTACACTTAATAAAAAAAAAAAAGAAAGGATATGAAATGTCCAGAGGAGGAGGCAGGCAGGCAAAATAACATGAAAACTCTTACTGCTACAGTGGGACCTGCATGACATCCATCAAGTGCCTTCTGTTTCACATGGGTGTACAAAAGGCTTCCTTCCTTTCTAAAAGTCTTCATTTAACAGTTTGAGTCTTTGCAATTGTTTGGGACTCAAGTATTTGATTCATGAAAAAGAACTCAAAGATAAAGAAGGCTGTACAAAAATAATCCGATGGAGAAAAACTGACGTAAAAATAACTGATGGAGCTGCCTCTCATTGGCCGACTTTCGTCTTGGAAGTAACCGTCCCACTCTGAATACATCTGGTTCTTTGATAAAGAAGCAAGTATACGACCCAAGTCTCCTATAGTGCAGTGGCCCCAAAGCGGGTGTAGATCATAAATTGTGGTTAAGCGCGTACAGTCATACGCTGACCAACCAAGTGAGGTCCATGGAGCGAAGAAGGTGGCAGTGATGAAGATGATCTGTCAGGGTTTTAGATAACCATTAAGGCAACTACAAGATAAGGGTCATGGTAGTAGAACAGACAGAAACAACAAAAATAAAACGTCTTAAATCACGTCAAACACACTCGGCCTGCCAGCAGGTCTATTCGTAGACGCACAGCTTTTTCACTGCAGGCATAATCAGACACAGACACAATGAAAATCCAATCACACAGAAGTCCTGCGTTGAACAACCTGACCTTCGATAGGTTGAAGCACATAAAAAGTTTCAAAACGTAAAGAGCAACCACCAATCAACCAACAAATTAGACAAGCATCAAGGCACCCGGATCAAAAACTGTTTCTTATACCGTGACAATGTTATGGAGAAAGACAGCCATATGAAGACAATAAATAGCATTCTCGGCATCCCATCATATCCCTGACCGCTGGAAGTGACCCCCGTCGGCCCCCACACCCCCACAGAGCACATCGGGATGTACACGCAGGTGACTCACCGGGTCTTTAGCTTGCTGCGCTAACACGGCGTAGGTGGAAATCCTGCTGCAGAGGCATTTGGTGTGGACGGTGGTTGACGCGAGCGTTTGGCAGCCTTCTGTGCCCCAGTTTTCCGCGCCAGCTTCCCTGGAGGTGGGGAGAAAAGGGGGGCACAAGGGGGACACAAACAGTGGCTGTTGAGACCGGTCACGTGACTGAACACGTCAACGCCAATGTCACAACTCAAAGAAAGCGTGAAAGGAGTAGAGCATCAAGCGAACCCAATCACTTCATCGGGAAGATACTGACGCCCCCCCCTCCCAGCTGGTAAGTCAAGGTCGTAGCGGCCGTTTAACACCCTGAACACTCTTTGTTCTCTTACTTTTTCCACCTCCCTTTTCTAGGAGGAATACTCTAAATAACTCGAGGCCCTGGAGACGGATGAGAAGTGTTGCCCGAGTTAAGGGTAAACAAAGACCATCGCGGCTTAAGTGGTGGATGGGGATTATTCTGCACTAAATGGTCATTTGCTTTAACACGTTACTGGGAAAGAGAGTGCCCGGAATCCCCCCCCCCCCCCCGTCTACTTCCCTCTAACTGCACTCAACAGGATGTTGAATGTGGCGGTCGATCAATAAGATTCCACCTGAACTAATTACCCTGGCAGATTACTCTGCACATTGACCTTAAATGTAACCGTGGATTAATTCATAATACAGCTATCAAGAGACACATGGGGAGAGCAGCAACACGGGTGTCGGGAGGGCGCCAAAAAGAGAATCACAATATGCACGGGACGGCAGCTCGTGTGCCAAGTTATTACTGCTATTTCTTTCACCACTAACGCTTTAATGGATAACTCAAACACATCCTCCCTAGCTAATAGCAGTGAGCACCCTCAACACTAAACGGAGACAACATGTAATTGAGTCTTGCCTGTATATTGAGATCGCCATAATATGATTTGCATATTATTCAAAATCGTCAAGTCTCTCGAGAGCCTGAAAATACTCAGACTGGCAAAATTGTATCTTTTGTTTGTTTTACATATTAAGGAAATGATGAACTGATTCATTGCTCTTTGTATTTGTGGTATCTTGAGGCAAATATTAAGTGTTACTCTGTCTTTTGGTTGATAAAAAACAGACAGATCGTTTTAAAAGATAACAAGATACCGCTCTTCTTTATTGTTTAAGAACAATGACAAAATAATTGATCAAGTTGGCGTGCTGTATGAGAACTCACTGTGCTCATTTTTATGTATGGAAAAACACAACAAGTTAAATGATATATTTGAGGTAGGATTTTAGGATTTTGTGACTATATTTTGATGATGTAACAATGAAATTATCTCATCATCTCGCTAATACACAATTTGATCAGCATAACACAAAATGACAAGAATGTATCAACATCAATTCATGTAGTAAAGCACACACACACACACACACACACACACACACACACACACACACACACACACACATAAACAGTCATTTCACAATGTAATGAATGGCTTTTCGGTACAATCCCCTGCTGATCATTCTCTGCATAGTAACAATAGAGAAGCCATCAGCTTGACACGTAGCGACATGGTGCACAGCTTTGTGTTCGTCTGTGTGTGTCTCTGAACCAAAGAACAAGAGTAGAGTGAATGAGAATGTGCACTTGTTATCTTTTATGAGGGAATTCAAAAAAATATATAAATTTTGTGAGGTATTTTCAGGTAACATTTACATTTCCTACTTTTGAAAAAACACGTGGAATCAACTAAATTGACAATGCATCATCCCGCATTAATGCATCCATGCATAGAAAACATCAGTGTGTTTGCAATGTGCAAATGGATTTATTCACACCAGGAAGCAAGAGCCATTGAGGGCACATGTGCATGTCATGCATCAACGATTGTGCGTTACATGCAAAAATGTTACGTATTGTATTATGCTTGTCAGTTTACGTATCGCAAACCAGATGCACATCTGAAATGCATTCATTTACTGACATGAATGGTCTAAATAGATATGAGGAAATATGCATCCGTCAAATGTGGTACGGTTAAGGTCTAAAGTTGAGGCAAACTGTGATCTTTGTTATTGCAATTCCACCTTGGCAATAGACAGCTGGCGAGGAAGGAATTAAAAATGTCTTTTGTTTTATTTCCGTCGTACTGTAGACCAAGAATGAGCCGAGAGCTGCCGTCGACTGCTGTTACGATGGACAGGTACCAGATGTACAAATAGGTAGACGTGTCACTATCGCTGGTTTATAGGCAATGGTTCCAAATGTATACTGCAAAGATTTCCACCTGGCTTTATCCAAACTAAAATAGTGAGAGTTTGTTTGCTTTGCGATAACAAACTCATCTGTTGTTTGGTCTTCACATTGACAAAGAATTCAGTTTTATTTAATGAGTGTTAGAGTTGGCTTTATTATGACAGGTAGTTATCCATCAGTGCACATGGAGATTACACAGTGCCAAAACCATAGAGGCTGCACAAAGAAGTGCTTCAAGCTCAATGCTAGAAGCACGCCAATACGTACACAATGACAGTATGCTGTGATGTTTACCGTGACCATCGTAATGCAAGAAAAGCATTGAACCTTTTAACTAATTGATAGGTGAGAGGTCAAAGATATTACAATTCACATCAACGTGTGTGGCATTTCAGTCTGTAGGAAAGTGGTGGCTCATGCTTCTAGCCAAACTGTCACCATAGCTAAAAAGAAAAATGCTTTTAAACAAACCAGCAGCACTTGAAGAGCGCGCTGTTGGAACAAAAGGTCCATACTAACACATCACCATGCTTTCCCATTTGTTTCCTTAACTGCAAGCTTGAAAAAAAAAAAATAGGAAAAACTTCCTGAACAACAGCGTTAATTGACCTTTTGTGTCTACTGAGAATAAATTGGCACCAACCCTTGACTAAAAGGGTAATGCAATGGAAGCCAATTGCACCCTGTTGAGAAAAAAAAAAAAATATATATATATATATCAACACGCTTTGAATTCTGATCACGGTGCAGACTTAAGTCACTGCCCCCAGCTGCTTATTAAATTGAATTCTGGCATGTTGCAAATGCCTCTCATCCAAAGCAACCTCCTATATTTCCGTGGCAGAGATGACAGAATGCATTTAGGAGACAGAGGAGACAGGTATTACACCTTATGATAGAGGTGAGGATGCTGCAAGTGGGCGACATCCAAGATCCTGTCACTGCTATTTGAAATAGTATTACAGGAGCACATGTTGTCCTACACAGCTGTTATCGGTGTAATGAGGATCAACAGTACCAGCTAATTACTTCTGGGGGCAAACACTGTCAAATTTGCTTTACTAGATGGCCGTAGCCAAACGTAGTAGTACAGTAGTGACTGTAAATAGGAGGCCCTGAAACCAATGCTCTGTTGCTCACGTCTGACAACATGTGGCATCGCATTTGTATTCCAGTTTAACCCAAAACTATGCAGTCCTTAAAAGATAGTATAAAAATGTTTAATATTCAGAGGATTGTATTGTACGGTCAACGTGCAGAATACGACAGATATAGCGCGATGTTTAAATATGCTAATAATAATAAAACGATGTTTTGACGATAACTTTGACCTGTCATTGTCTGAAACGGATTTCTAGCCGGTGACAGACAGCAAACAGAGAGTTAACGAGTCGTGGACAGAAGGACTAGCGTAAAGGTGAGGACTCGCTGTACCAGAGAGGGATTCTAAGGATCACCGAGTTAAGTGGCTTCACGTGGACACAGTTTTGAAGGGGTTAAAACTCTTAAACTACTACTTAAAAGTAGCATGAAAACCCTTTGATGAAAGTACATCGTAATAATAATCCAGCCCACGTGCAGTATCATATGTCCTCCAATGGCACATCTGTGTACAAAAAGTGTTTTTGTTGTAGATGCACGTTTGACCTCTTCCCAAGGTGGAACAACTTGCAGCGCTTACATTTTCAATAGTACATGAAGATTTATTTCTACATGTAATATGGTTCCATTTAGTCACGTCACAATATAAGCGCAGGTGTTAATAACTAGATCTATTTGGGCTAAATTCCAAACTGATCCGCTCCAATTTAAGGCTCCTGTTGTGCAAGCTGATTCTTTGTTCCTCTCATGACTTACTGGGAACTCGAAAAAAAGAACGGATCCATCGCTAATGCTATTAGAGACACCTGTGCTTTTCCTGCTCTCGGAAAGGTGTGCTGTGAAAAAATACCTTTTGACCGAGATGACCCTGAAAATAAAATATGTGGTAGCAGCAGACAGCATGATATAATATTACTGTGTTTTTTAAAATGTAATAGCAGTCGACCTTCTTCTTAATTTCATCACATTTTGAATGGTGTGTTGACAATCCTTCTGAATTACCATGTGAATGTACGCCAGGGATTTCTTTCCTTATTGAAGCCGCAGAAAGAAAATTTGCAAGCAAAACTATTCTGGTGGATGGAATCTATTGCAGTAGAATTGCCCCCCCCCCCCCTTCTCCCCCACCCGCCAGGGAGCTAGAATGCACATTCACCACTGGCGGTGCACATTGACCTTTCACTCTCTATACAGCCAGAACTCACTGAAGCAAGTCTTCACGTGACACAAATCATCTGTTCTTACTCACCCTTTTACATCACCGATCATGCAGGATTGACGCAGTGTCTTCCACGGGGGGGGGGGGGTTTGGCATGGGTTTGCATTGCGGTTCATGGCGGAGTGTGTGCATCAGTATTTTTGACCCAGATCTTAACTGTGTAGGAACTAAGCTCCCCCCCCCACACACTTAGCCTGACGGATGTAAAGTTGGCCCTTATAACCACAAGAACATGCTGTGAGATTATCCCACACTCGCCGTTATGTTATAGACTTATAACGTTATGTCTCAGACGGTTAAGCGTAGATTTTGAAATGTCTTTAAATCTGTTGCGGTTGCTTAAACGTTAAATATGTATCGATGTGAATCCCATGTGTTGTCGGGTGGTTAATGTTATGGTTACATGAATCAGACGTATTTCCTCAGAATACAGTTGTGGTAACGAAGGGAGCCGCCATCACGCAGGTTTATAAAGGTTATTTAAGTGGCTCGCAACCAAATACTCACATATTCATTAACATCTAGTTCCCGTAGTTTCAAATGGGAACTT